ATGTCTCTTAGGACTGGACTGGACTGTCCCAGTAATGAAGAGACTGTTAAGAAGTAAGTTTTGATGAGCAATTCAGATCTTAGGGAATTTGGTTTCTATTTCCATTTAATAAACATCTACTGAATATTTTTGATTAAATTGGATGCTCCTGGTAGACAGAGAGACTTTCTTATTCTGAGACAAACAGTTGCAATCTTAACTTGCATTATAAATTGGTTTTGCAAAACATCTTTCCTTATCAGATTGGCTTACCTGCTTTTACGTGCCTTCAGCCTCCACTGCTAGGTAGCAGGATGAAGGGTTGTGGAAACCAGCTTGAAATATTGTACCATCAACTTCTGTGAAAATAAAAGAAACTTTGCAAAAGTCAAGTGACTGGTCATTTGTCCAAAGAGACAATGACAACAGAATTTCAAATTCCAATATTTAAATCTGAAATTCTTTTTGGGGGGATGATGGTAAAGGAATTGTCTCTGGAAAGAGTAGAATTAACTTCTCAGCTTTCAACAGTTCAAATGAAAAAACTGAAGTCCCTTGGTTGTTACCAACAATTCTGTATTAAAACATTTCAAGAAATAAAATCCAGGCTAAATCTCCACTATTAATAATCTCCAATGTTAATCTCTCCCTTTTATTAATAACTGCCCAGTAAAAGTTAATTAATTTAAGGTCTTGGTTTGTAATTAATTATTGTGCCCTAAATTCCAGATTAATGTCCTTAGCCTCAGACAGCCTAATTTCTAAATATGTAAAGCCATTAGCCACTCTTGTCCTTAGGGACACAAGCAGGCTCTGGATTTCTCTACTTGCTAAGTTATCAGCAGAAATGGGGCAAGGGCAATGTTCTGTGCGTTACTCAAAGAATGTGTTAGACTGCATATCGATCGCACTTCATTACAGGCAGAGAAGTCATATCGAACTAAAGTGGGTATAAATGGACAAGCCCCTTCCATGTCTTATATTTCTTACCAGGCTAATGTAGTGAAACTATTTGTTATATGGATCCTTCCCTGCTAGTCTTCTCCCTAAGGCCAGCTACAAATTCATTTATGCTATCCCTTCTCAGCTGTTTCCTCTTTTTTTCTTTTTCTCCTATTAAGGACTCATAGTAGGCATACGCCACTAGGACAGAAAGTAAATTAAGAATGGAAAAAGTGCAGCGCTTTAGTAATGCGAGGACTTTTGTTTTCAAGGGCAGCTTTTCATAATGAATAGGTAATTAATGACAAATTTCCAAAGACACCCATAACTTGGTGCCTCAGATCTCTAGTTCTCAATTTAAAACACTAAAAAAGGACCCGATATCCAAACAGGGCTAGGCACATGCCCCTGTGGAAACCAAACATCTCTAAGCTACCTCCGTTTGGGCCCCAAAAATAGACACACCCAGAAATCACTCTTAGTTGGAAATGATGAAACATGGAAATCCAAGGATATTTTGTTTGGTTCTGTAGAAGTGTGTTTATGTAAATTTTGGGGGGTTTTGGCTTGGAGAAAGCAATGGGAGAGGGCTGTGGTAGAGACGAAATGACAGAGGCTTTTTGAAGCTCTGAGAGACGGATTCCTCCTAATCTGTTTGAGGTCAATTTAGCACTTTGATTTTAACCTTCTGCTCCCAGGAAGATGAGTGATTATTTGCTGATAACGCACCTTATTATAAAATCACAGTCATTAAAGGCACACTGTCTTTCTAACAGCCAATCCATGTCTTTCCTTATTCCTTAGGAATTTGGCAGGTTAGCTACAAAAAATCACTTGACATAAAATGTGGCAGTCTGTGAAGTAAATAACTTACATTAATTACTTGGGCAAAACTAGCTGCTTCTGTCTTGGCAGTCCCGATGTCTTATGTTGCTGATGGGAGTTTGGAGGGAGATTTGCAAAA